AAGCCCCAGTAAAGCTGTCGATGGAGATGTTACCTTTGAATCCTATTATAATTTGCACACTTAACTGCCATTCCCCTTTAAAAAAAAAAGAAAAGCGTGTGTTGATACTGATGCCTTGACTTAAGACACCTTCTACTGTTACCATAGGCAACAGCAAACCTGAAATATAGCCTCATAAATTCCATACGTCATCCCCATTGCAAGTCTGTTTTCCCATGTTTACGCCATCTCTAACCTAAAGCTACCCTCGCTGTAACATAGGCACCTCCGTTTAATGAAGAGAGGCCTTGCGAACCTGGGTAATTTCACAAGTAAGCTCATAAAAAAAATGTTGGAAAATATGAAATACTTTGTAACATTTGGTCTTTATTACCTCTAAGTACAAACTGGGTAGCAATTGAAAGAAACATTGTGTCAAAATAATTCCATTAATAATGAATGTCTAATTGCAATTTTTAAATAGCCTGGTACACAAATATATGTTAACACTTCACTCCCTTAATAACTTAACATGTCTATAAATTCTTATTTTTTCCTAAATTTATATGGAACTAAAAAAAGTAAACTGATACCAGCTCAATCTAATGTATCAGATTCCTGATTGTAACTGTATGGATTTTCAGGAAGCCTTTTATTTATCTCATTTTAGAGAAAATTTTCCTGTGTGTTCATATCAATCTGATAATGTGACATACAGCTCCTAACACCAAAAAAGAATAAGTGGGTAGAAAAAAATAAGAGGGAAACACCCTATCCATTTGGGCAATTAAAAGTATAACAAGTTGGCTTTGGAATGGATAATAAATTCTGAAACAAACTTACTCTGTTAGATGTGTTTTCTATAGCATATGATAAAATGAATGCCTAGTCCATACGGTGGTTGTGATGGGAGATGGGCCCACTGGAAGATGTTTGGAGACAGGTCCTTAAGGGGGATTGGGTGGCTCTGGCCCTTCCTCAATCCTGCTTTTCCCATTGGCTTATTGCTTCTGGAATGATGTGCTGCCTCATCATGAGCCCAAAGCAAACAGAGCCCCCAAACCTGTGAGCCCAAATAAACCTTTTTATATTCTAAAGTTCAGTCCCGACTCTTTTGTTACAGTGCTGGAAACCTGACTAATAGCAACCATAGAAACCCCATGCTGGCACATTAATAGGCAATGACAGGCAGGCATCAGGCCCCTTGTCAAGGGGCCATGAGTTATGGAAACATTGCTCTCTGTTCTCTGTCCCCAGTCAATGGTACCTGCTCTCCCACAGCAATTGACCTTCCACTTTTATTCTAGGGTATTTCACCTGTTCTCCGTATATACCATTAGATTACCACCCAGCTCCCTCCCCACTAGAATGCAAGTGATTTGAGACAGTGGTTCTTCTTACCCAGAAAATCCAAAGCAGTGAGGTACTATGAACACCTCCATTTTACAAATGAGAAAACATGCAGGGAAACAGATGGTCCAAAGTCTCTTTTAAGCAAAAACCAGAGAACCAACCAGACACAAGGCTCGAAAGCCATGCCAAATCACGTTCTGGTGTCTCCTGTTTCTCACATGTCAAGGGGAAAGTGTTGATCATCTAATATTTCTTGTCACGCTTTATTTCATGATCTTATAACGTAGCACAAGCCACATATCTTTGAAGACCCCTGATGCTATAGGATATGTATGACACTATGCAATTCGTCACTTTCCCCCCAGTGGATTTTCTGAGAAATATGTTGGGTTGTTTTCCTAAGAAACTTGGGTCTTCTAGGCTGCTGTCATAAAGAACATGGAACTGTAAAGCTGACTTCCTAGGACCCGTATCTTAACTCTCCTATCCTTGTCTCTTGTCCTGGGACATGCTATTTAACCTTCCTGCATTGATTTCTCCACCTGAGAGACAAGCATATAACAGTCCGACTTCAGATGAAAGACCACCTGAAAACTCAACATCACAGTAGAAAGCTCTTGAGAAATGCACATTGCTTAAGAAATCTAATCGTAGGGACAACCATATTTCAAAATTCTAGTTTCCCAGAATTCCAGTTTTTGCAATAATCATAATTGGAGGATGCTAGGACTCAAATTCTTCATGAAAACAAAATCCAAAACCAGACAACTTGCCACTGTCTTTTGTGGTGGTGGGATATGGTGAGCATGTCCTCAGAGGTTTCAAATGACTTGACCCTTCATGTCTACTTGTCTAAAAATGAAAATATGAGGAATCACAGTCCCTTATAAAATCTTTCAAGAGTGTCACTTGCACTTGGTGTTCAAGAGTTCTAATCTATCCCTGGATGTTCTTGGTTCTTTTACCTTCACAGATCTTCTTGCCTCTTAATTCCATCACTCTTCTCTACCTCCCCCTGCTAATCCTCCTCACTGAAACCCTCCACACATTTTTCGTGTCCTACAACAGGCCCTCAGTATGAGTCTATCGCCTCTTTCCATGCACCCTGCATTCCTGTCATGACCACAGTTAGGCTGAATCCTAAGCACTAGCTTCTGGACTTACCTTCCCCTACCCGACTGCGCTCCCAGGGAGAGCACAATAGCGATGTCCATTCTGTTTTGTTTTCTTTTTACATGTGTATGTGTGATGCTTGTACATGTGTGTATGTGTTTGAGGTGGGAGGGGGGGTCACATTTGTGTGGGAGTGTGCATACAGAAGCCCAAGGCTGATATCAGGAGTCTTCCTGGATGGCCCTCTACCTTATTCATTGAGGCAGGCCCCTCAGCTGAACCTAGAGCTAACTGATTTAGCTAGTCTAGCTAGCCAGCTTGCCAGGGATCCCTGTCTTCACCTCCATGGGGAGCTGAAAATACAAGATGGTTGCCATGCTCACTCAGCATTTATGTGGATGCTAAGGACACAAATTCAGGCATTCAGACTGAGCCACATCCCTGGCCCCAGCAATACTTCTTTTGTGAAAGCACCTGCAATGTCTCATCTCAAGCATTAGTTGCATGTCTTGGCCAGTAATGCAATGTAGTGACTTCTGGGATTAGAATTGCATTTAATTCCCCTTGGTGTTTTCAACCTCTCACACAGGGCATCCAAAGGTGAAGAATGTCATTCAAAGGTTTGTAGAATGAGAAATGTCTAGAAATTATTATGGGATGGCTTTACTATGATATGATCATCAATAATATTAGCAGCCGCTTAGCTTCCAACGAGAAGACCTGGACAAAGATGCGTTTTACCTCACCAAGTACATGAGCATATGATTTGATTCAATGTCACTGAATACCACATTACAATGAGGTACATACACAGTATCATCCTAATTTTAAATACTGTATGGCCAGTTGATTGATAGGAGAATCCCACCGCAGCAGGGAAATCTGGATGTGAGCACTCTGTGAATACTTCAGCATCGGTGTGCCTAATGAATGTGTTCTGTTCTCCATAGCAGCAGGAAACAGGAAGTACAGCCACTGAAGAACTAGAATCGTGCTCCACATGGAAGGGGACATTTCCACCCCCTAGCAGACACTGAAAGTGGGCATGGGAGGTGAAATTAGCTCAGTCACCTCACTGTGACTCTGAACAAAAGATTGGCATCTGAGTCTTTGACAATGTCTAATAGTCTCTCTCTCTCTCTCTCTCTCTCTCTCTCTCTCTCTCTCTCTCTCTCTCTCTCTCTCTCTCTCTCTCTCTCTCTTTCTCCTTCCTTCCCTCACTTCCTCTCATTAGAGCATTGAATGGGTTTGTTTTAATTACAGGTATATTACCCACGAAATTCATTTTCTGACAAAGAGATTACAAAACAAGATATGTTCACTGCACTCAGCAGGGCCAAGAATCAGTATATAGGATCATACACACATCAGTATATATGTGACACACCCATAACCCCAGTACATGAGTTGAGGGAGAGCTGAGGTGGCAGGATTATGAGTTCTAGACCAGCCTCGTTATTTAGGGACACTCTATCTTAAACTTTTATATATATGCAATGTAGTGACTCTATCTTATATATCTTATATATATTTGTGTGTGTATGTATGTATATATATATGTATGTGTATATATATACATATATATATATAAATTTCTACACACCAACTCCATATTAACTAGCTATAGAGAGTTGACCAAATTACTACACTCCTCTCTGCCTCCATTTCCAATCTGTAAAATGGTGATTATAATACCTATTTGTTGGAGTAAGTTAATACACAACTGCCCAGCCACTGTGTTAGGAGCTTGGCAGAAGTTAAAGAAGTGGTACAGGGCAAATGTGGCTCCAGCCAGCCTGATGATACCTACATGTGGTTTTGTTCACAATCTCAAAGGTTTGTTCTTTACCTTCAACTATTCTTTTAGCTGTTTTTCATAATCTTGAACACTTGGGAGGAAGACCACATTTGCATGTGGGAGAAAGAAGGGACTAGAAGTTGGCACCGCTCTAACTTCCTGGCAAAAGGCCTTCGAACTGGTTTCCTCTGACCCTCAACTGGAAACCAGGGAAGCCCATTAACCCTCGTAGGGCAGAATTCTACCTCTGTTGACGTTAGACAGAGCTACCGAAGGAGACTGATATACGACAGAATGCATTGCCATAAGCTGGACTCTGAGCCTGCACCTTCAGGGGTAGGTAACTGTGAAGGAGATGGGGCACCTGGAGGAACAGGCAAGGGACTGGGAACTGTTGGCCTGACCCCACGTTGGGCAGGATGAGCAGTATCACATCCTGTATGTATTACAAAAAGTCAGAACTTCAGATTCCTATGAAAAATATCTGGACGTTCAAACTCTACAGGCCACGTGACACATGTGTGTGTGTGTGTGTGTGTGTGTGTGTGTGTGTGTGTGTGTGTGTGTACCACAGACAGCCTATTTTCTAAGATCTCTGTAAGAACTAAGCTCTGTTGCTTTCCTAAGTCCTGATGAAGACAATATTTTCCTTAATTTCGAAAGATGAAGTATGGGATAAAGACGTTTCCTCTTATTAGATAACAAAGAATTGCCACTAAGAGTATAAAATGAAGAACTTTTGTTTGAAAATCTCAAATAGAGTTCAGGAAACCAGAGACATTTATTTTTTTTTCTAGTGTGGCCCGTACGTGTGTTCACCAGACGTCAAACACAGTGGCACATAGAATGTGGATCCCTGGATCGTTCCACTAATAGATGGCCTTTGACTTCCACAAAAAGTTACAGCGTGATCTCTAAATAATTAGTACTGTCAATGTGGTAAGTAAATTAAGTTACAAATCTTCACATTTATATATAACTCTTTTTACAAATAAATGTTTTAAGACCCAATTGTCCAACTTTCATTTTAAACGCGAATATTGCTGAACAAAAAATATGCAATAAATATTCCCTCAGGATGGTGGGGAAGTGGATTGACACAGAATCTGTGCTGCGGCGAGTGTCTGAGTAATATTTAAAACTTCAGTCTTCCCATGTGGTTACCGAAACCTTGTGTTTTGGAAAAAGACAGCTCTCATATTTTAAACAAAATTTGTTATTAATTTAAGAAGTAAATGTTCTCAGCATACTAATATTACTTATGGTTAGGTCACTCCCAAAATTATAAATAGGTGGTTCACTGGCCCCTCAAGTTTACTTAACAGTTAGATTTTAAGTGAACCTTTATAATTACAATTAAGCGTACGCCCTTCCTTATTTATGTATCCATTTGTATGATAACTCAACCAACACAGGAAAAGGAACACGGGGCACTTTTCTACAAAGGACAGCTGAACTGTCCGGTAAAATATTCTCCTTCCTCTTGCAAACTTAACGTCAAACTGCCGAATATTTTAACAAAAGGTGAGTAAGCTGCATCGTTCACGGTGTTTGCAAAGTCAGACCTCCGTAACCAAGGACCAGACAGTGCTGTGTCTTTCTGGACCTTTCTTCCACGATCGTGATGGGTTACCACAAATTTCCTCAAAAAGTGAGTGTGGCTTGACCAGGGTAGCAACATTCCCCCTGGCTACCATTTCACCATGCGGCCTATTCACAGCCACCGCCGCCCTGAGTCAACTGGAACTGAAATCTGGACAGCTCTTCCCGGGCAATGGGGGCTCCTGCTGGAGAGGGTAGGCAAAATATTGGGGTGACACCAGGAAACCGGATGGCTGGGTTAGGTGGATGGCATGGCCAGTGGTGTAAGGCGGGGGTGACGAGGGTACCAGGCAGCCTGGCTCAGCCCGGGCAAAGGAGAACCTTCGGACAGAGCCTCCCGTGGAGCTGGAGCTGGTGGCCGTGCTGGACTGCCGGGAAGGCGCTCTGAGGCTGGTGGAGGTGAGGATCATGGGTAAGGTCTCTGTCTGATAGCTGCGGAGTGAGAAGCGGATTGGTTGCTGGGAGGGCTCCTTGGGCCTCAAACAGGTGCAACAATAGATAGCCACTAAAGAGCCCAAGATGATGAACGCGATGAAAATGGAGCCAACGATCAGGAAGGGGACGTAGACAGGCTCTAAAAGGCAAAAACAGACACACACAGATGCTGGGTAAAGGTCACTCACACCCTAGTCTCTGCTTTAGCATCTCAGATGTGGGAGGCTAGAAAGCTCATTATCTATCGTGACTGCTCAGCTTTTCAGAGCATATATGACGGGCGACCTCTAAATCACAAACTGGGATGACGGAATGTTCAACTGATGCTGTAGCCTCTGTTAGCAATTAACCATCCCATTGAACATCTGGACGTCAGACATGAACAGTCTGTCGTCCTATTCATGCACTGAAGGGAGAAGATGAGTTTGGGGGTCACCCTGGATGTGCATTTAAATCTACATTTTTAGGAGTTTTATCACGGTGGGACACTGAAGAGCCTAACCCACCCCCTAGACTGACAATCCATCTCCTGTCCAAATGTTTCCAGTCTAAGAGAACCAGGCCTGCTGAATGAAGCCTGGGGTGTTACGAGACTCTGAAATATATATATACACACATAGCAGTCCACAGTGAGCCCCAGCTTACTGCTTCTCCCTCCCCCTTACAAATCACCAGTCCTGACTCCAGATGTCCTACCTCTGTCTCTACATCTCTACATTCCCACCCACAGACACAGTTCTTGGTATTGGCGACCTGAACTTTTTCTAAGGGCATCCCTCAGATATCAAACTCTAGTTTGCTACCGTCTCTAAAAGGAAGACAGAAATAAGATGTTTTTCCCCCGGGGTATCATCAGGGCAGCTGTCCCAGTGGTGGCTTCGCTGTGTTAAAGAACCACACTGACAGGCAGCCCCCAGTTTCTGGGCAGCAGACAACAAAAACACCTGAACTGACCAAGGCCCTTGTGCCTGCTTTCTGTATCTGATTGGTTTTTACCACGGAGGCCACGCGAGACAGAAACTCTCTTATCCAGATATGAATACATATCAGAAAGCTTTTGACTTTTCCAGAGACTCGTTCAGTGAGTGACAGATAACAGCCTGAGACCTGCTAAATTACTTCTTCAGCATCCCTTAGATGCCCCATGTGAGTCCCACAGGTGTCTAAGGCCGGGCGAAAGCGGCCTGCACATCAAGCCTTTGTATGCTGGTTTCATCAACAAACCAACTCTTTTGAGAAGTGGCCCAGCATAGTTGAGTCACCAGAGGTTAAACTGCTCGCAGAAGATAAAGCCACTATCCATCTGGTTTGGCCTAATCTCAGACTCACTAAATGGTGAGAGTACTCCAATCCTCTCTGCTTTCTTTTTTGGAGCGCCCCCCCCCATCCCCACACCCCGCCCACTGCTCCCGGGAGGAGGCTGGCTTACCCTGGCTAGAGGAGCATGGTCCCTAGTACAGGATGGAGAACCAGCAGAGAAGCCTAGTTTTCCAACAGGCCAGGATAGCCCAAAGTTCCCTGTTTCCAGCTAAGGAGTCTAGAAACTACTTCCCAGATCCTCAGGACAGGAAATGCTTGACACCCTCCCCCAACCACCAAAATTCAATCCCAGAGGAGAATACCGGGATGCTGACCCCCTTTCCTCTCTGGGTTATCATTTGGAGGATGGTCTCTCCAGCCTCTTTCCCACTGCCTTTCTTAGTGTGCAGGCTCCAGGCCGCTGCCTCACAGTCCTGGGGAGTCACGGGCTCTCAGGTCCGCACACTTCTCGGGTTTCCTGGCAGTAAAACCATCGCCTGGAGCTGTAAAAGGTTTCCCTAATGTTCCAATTCAAGTGGAAAACTTTTTTCAAGGTGTAAATTTCCTCTGCTGGGGTCGTGATTTATTCACCTCTTAAGTGAGCAAGCGAGCGGAAATTTGACCCGTGTTTTCCGACGTGAGAAAGGGGGGCCTGAGGAAGCCCTGTGACCCTGAATTTTAAATCCCCACCTCGAAGACTTGGGTGTTTCTGAAGAGCGTGACAATAGGGGATGGGCCAGAGAGGGTAATACGATGCAGAGAAATAAAGGAAGTTTGGGGGAGTGAGAAAATGCTACCATTGGGGGGGGGGGTACAAACAAAAACAAAAACTGCCTGTAGACTGGATCTGGGCTCTTGACCTCAATCGCGTTCCCTGCATTTCCTGACACTGGCACTTCCAGAGCTCCCAAAGTGACCAGAGCGCCCATGAAAACCCAGCCTAGCTCCAGCTGTCTTCCCTAGAAGCACCAGGTGCACGCCAGCCTTACAGTCCCCGCAATCTCTTGCAAACTTTCCTTCCCTAGGGCCGAACCCCGGAGACCACGTGCAGCTGGGATCCAAACTGCAAAGCAATAGAATCCCCTGATCTGAAATGCGGTCACCCACCCTTCCCTCCATCCCCAGACCCAGCGGTGTTCACTTTGCTCCTGGAGCTAGTAAAGCGTGCCTGAGTCTGATGAACACGGCCGGGTCCGCCCAGGGGAGCCGCACTTACGCGCAGTGATGCCGGGATGCTCCAGCTCTCCGCGGTCGTTGGTACAGCCGCCCTGCTCCAACCTGGCGTCGGCTGCAGCGCAGCAGTAGCGCAGCGCGCACGAGCCGCAGCAGATGGTGGCGTCCTGCGTGTCGAAGTCCTCGGGACACTGGAAACCCTCGTGATAGTTGCCCTGCGCGTCCACCCAACCGTGGCAGTACTCCCCAGGCTGCTGCGCGCCCGCCGGGCCCCAGCGCAGCAAGCCCACGAGGAAACAGAGCGCCAGCAGCGCCCCCATCGCCGCCCCGCGCCCGGTGGCCGTTGGAGAGTCGGAGGGCGGAGCCGGGGCTCCGGGGACCACGGTTCCGCCTCCCCGCCGGCACTGCGCGGCCGGCTAACCCCGCGGTCGAGAACACGCTCTCGTGGGTTAGCAGCGGCTGGGCAGGAGGCGTGGGCTGCGCCGCGGGCTCCGCTGGCAGGGGGACAGCATGGTGCTCGGGGGCGAGGGGACCAGAGCGCGCGGGAGGCCACCGCGGAGGCTGCGAGTGAAGCAGCGGCCGCCCTTGGCCCCGCTCATCGCGCTAGGAGCTCCCGGGCCCCCTTAGCCTCCTTCCCGGCTCTCCTCGCGGGCCGTCGGGCCCCGAACAGCAGCGTCCCGATCGTGGACTGTCGCCGGCTACCCAGCAGAGCCGGGAGCGCAGCTTGGCTCCCCACGTGCAGATCCCGGGGACCGGCTGCTAACTCAGCTCCGGCCCCTGACTGTCACGCGGGCGGGGAGACAAGCCTAGCCGCGGCCAAGTGCAGAGGGCCCGGGGTGGCTGACAGCTCTGCCTGCAGGGCGTCCCTTAAAAAGGCGGAGGGAGGAGGAGACACGCGGGTGAGGAGAGTCCGCCCTCCGGGGTCGCCGCGCGCGCGAGCTAATCACAGACAGCGGACGCACCGCGCTGCGGTCCCCGCCGCCCGCAGGTTCACGCGCGCGTCTCCCCGCCGCCCCCACCCACGGCGCTCCCCCGGGACTTGACGGTGACCCGGAGGGGACCAGTCCCCCGCCCCCCACCTAGCTGTCATATAGCCAGGAAAAACTCGAAGAACAACGGTAAAGGCTCCCGTCCCGCCTTCGTCCACGCACGCCAGCGCGCGAGGGGGACACGCTGGCCGGTTGGAGTTTAATCAACGGTTTCGTTAAAAAAAACGAGCGCGGTGGTTGGCGTTCATCAGGTGTCCTGTCCGCTTCTGCACAGACCCGGGCGGTGAATTCTGAGGATTCGTTCGGGTGCCGACAAGCCGAGGGTTAGGGTCACCAACGTGTGCACCTCGCTCCCCGCCCCCCACCCCTCGGCTTCCACAAGTTCACTCTCACCGGCACCGCTGAGCCGGCGCCGGGGAGGACCCGGGTCAGCTCCGCCAGCCGCACTTCAAAGGCCAGGATTTCGGTGTTCGCGCCCGCAAAGGAAATAAAAGAGCAGAATTAATGATAATCGAGCCTATCTGAACTTCTGTTCGGGCAAAGAAACACATTTATTTAAATGATGTGTCCCTTGTGGGCTGTTTGCAGGGGCACGGTTCCTCCCGCGGAGGCAGAGAGAGCCTTGTGAAGCCGGAGTTATGTGAAACCTGGGCTAACGTCAGGGCTTTATTTTTACTGCAACCTGTGTTTCCTCTCCGGGTTTTTATGGGATCGGTTACGTGTGAGGACGTTCGTCTTAGCCACACGGTTTGTCCAACAATCTGAATAGCGCCACCGATTTAGATGTTAGCAAGCCTCGTGAAACGAACGCAAGGAAGAGTCTGAGCACCGCCAACACGGGTGTGCGGTCACAAGTATTTATCACATCCGCAGCTTGCCCAAGGTCCCAGAGGCTCCTAGAAAAACTTCAATGCGAAATAAAACGGCTTATTTTTTAAGTATCTAAATTAAAGCCCATTCCGGGTAAAGAATTACTCCTAGCTTCTAATCTTAAAAGTTGAGATTATCATTTAATTGTAAAAGTAAATATCCAACATGCCACGTGCTTAACGGACTGTGCAAAACTTTATTGCTCTGTGATAGATATGGGGGGGGGGGACAATGATAAGTTAACAGGCTGTTAAGGAAAGCCAAATTACGTTTAAGTAAACAAATAATGAGTACATTTTCCTTGACTAAGAACTTATTTGAAGCATAAGGGGAAATTATTTCAGTAGAAATTTCATAGGTAATGGGTTTTTATTTATACAGAAAAAAAAATGTTGTCACCGGGCTTTAAAGTAGAAAAAAAATCTAATATTTTGGAGGCAGGGTGGTTTGGTTTGGTTTTCAGGAAAACAAAGGGAAAGTCATTTAGAAACCACAGCAAATGTGAGCTACAATGACCATAATAAAAAGATCAGACTCAAAGACACACTAACTCTTAATAACTTTCCCAGAACCGCACTACTTAATACCTTTTTTTTTAAAGTTAAGATTTGAAGAATTTCATTACATCACAACTGTGTGAAACTGTACAGCAGCAACAGCCCCCTCCAACAGCCCCCCCAGGGTCACGTTTCCCCCTTATCCAGCTGTTCTTTGATAGCGTTAATATTTTAAGGAATGATTTGTTGGCCCTTCCCTCCCATTAATTACGGTCTCTGTGCCACAGTGGGGTGCTTTTCCCTGCGACACCAGCTATAATTAATTTCCTCATTTAGAGCCCTTGTGTTTGACTTATTCAGACAGTGTGCTACCCCAGTTTAGCTGGATGATGTTTACTAATGGAAAATAACCAAACTTCTAAATTAGTTGATACTCCATAAATCAGGTAAGTGCAAACATTAAAACCAAGGTGCCCCATGCTTTCCTCTCTGAGCCCTGGATCCAAACTGCTTTCAGGTTACCACAAGCAGCCCAGGGGGCTAGGAAGGGGATAAGCGTGTGAGGGTTGCTTGTCATCAAAGATTCCCTCAAACTTCACACATTGATGGGTTTTAACTTCAAAAAAACAAAACAAAGCTCTAAGATCAATATGTGCCTCCCTTTATGTTTACAAATATCCAAACTTTCAGGGATTCTGTTACTGTTTTCATAGTAAAGGAAGATTTAAAGTCCCTAGAGATGTCCTTCCCAAAGCCCTTGGGGGAGTGTCATGGAGAGAGATGTTCAAAACTTTCTACCCAGGGTATTATGTAGAAGTTTTAGAATGTTACATTTCGCCCCGCCACCCCCACCCCCCACCCCCCACCCCCGAGTCAGTAACAAAAAGTCCCTATTTTGGTGAATAACACAATCTTAAGAAATCACTTTCCCAGCCTATTCTCTCTTGTGGTCTCCAGGAAATTTCTATAGGAAATGAGTTACATGATATGATGCCTGGGATTTTCTTTAATAAACACCAGAAAGGGGGTGAGGGGACGAGAGGGAGAAGAAAAGAGGAAGAAGAGAAGATGGAATGGCAACATGCTGATGATTGTAGCTGAGGAAAGGGACTTTGTATGACAGAATCACAATTCTGTTTTATCATAAGCTTTCTCTGACATCACCACTGATGGAATGCAGGGCCTTAAGGATGTTGAGTGGGACCTCTGCCATTGGGTTCCACTACCAGCCCCATTTTTAAAAAAATTATTAATCAGTACTGTAGTCTCCTTTATCTAGTCTTGTTCTGTTTGCCTCTCTCTCTCTCTCTCTCTCTCTCTCTCTCTCTCTCTCTCTCTCTCTCTCTCTCTCTCTCTCTCATATTCTTATATGCTTAGTAAGTGGATAGATAGATAGATATGAGGGAGAGAGAGAGAGAGAGAGAGAGAGAGAGAGAGAGAGAGAGAGAGAGAGAGAGAGATGGGAAGGGGGAGAGAAAAGACAACAATGGAAAGGACTGAGAACTAAAATATGCTAAAAAGAGGAAGAAACGCCAAAGGGTTACCTTAGAAAATCAGGGGTGGGAAGGACTGGCTTTGATGAAGGAAGTTCCCATGAGCTTATTTGCACTGGACCCAGAAACAAAGTAAAAAACAATAACAAAATAATAGATGTGGAGGTCGGAAGGTCTATGCAATCTTGGAGCTCAGCATTGTGACCAGTTTTTTAAATCCTTTAAATCCCAGGATGCATATTACACAGAACCTTCTTTGTTATCGGTGTTCCCTAAAATAACAACTAAAGAATGAAAAGCCTTTCTTTACCAAAGCAACAACAAATGGTTCCTTAACCCACCCTCCAGTCCTTCTCTAGAGTGGTTTGTTATCACCAACTATCCTTTGACTCCTTTGCTGGTGACCTCATGAAATTCTTTCTTGGGTCACTCACTATAAATCTTATTCCAGCCCCTTGTAAACCTGAGTTAGTTGAAAGAGATTTCTTTCTGAGGGTTGCAGTATCTCATATTTACCACTAAAGTATAGAAAGGTCCCAAGAAATAGGAAGTATTGCTCTCAGAGCCCAGAAACCCATCCCTATGGAGGGATTGTACAATCAATTCCTCATGATTGATTGAACAGCCTCTTCCCCCTGCCCAGAACATCTGAGTGCCTCACTATTGTCAACTATAAAAAGAAGGGATTGGACACAGCACCCTTGTAGCAGAGTGTGCAGAAATACCCCGGGGATCTTGTGAAAACACAGATCTGGGTTCCGAGCAGCTACAGAGGCCAGAGCCTAAGGCTCTTGGGGATGAGGTGGTCATGCTGAAGCTGCTGGATTCAGGACCATTTTCTAAACCCCTTCTGCTGTCCTCGGTCCTCGTCCCCAGACTCAGGTAGAGTGAAGGCACCAAAATTGCACGTTCACTTTAAAAAAAAAAAAAAATCCCACCTCCTCTCTGGAGTACTCTCTGGGCCCTGGATCCCAGCACTTCTCAGCCAGACATTTACTGCAGCTGTCACTCACAGAAACCACTTCCTGGCTATAAGAGGCTTTCGGTGAAAGTGGTAAAATTTGTACACACAGACCATAGTGTCCAAACACACACAGGAGCGGCCCTCATGGGGTAAGATGGACTCAAGGACGGGAAGTAAAGGATGGGAGGAGCAGATTCAGGCCAGTGGCACTGATGTCCACACTTGCCCTGCCTCCCCCAATGTTAGAGCTGGTCTGTTGCCTAGTACATGGTAGAGCTTCCACAGAGAGGAAATGGATGGCTGAACAAATGACAAGATGGATGTTTTCCCTTAGTGATTACACTGCACTTACTTCTGCCCTGTAATTCCGAGTTGGGGCATCTGTCTTCGTCATTAGTGTGACTTCTTACACGATGTGGCTGGCACATAGCAGGCTGTCCAGTAAGTGCTGTATGAATGACGCTGCACCCCATATGTGACTGCTTGAGAACCTGTTGCAACTGAGTGGCAGGGTCTCATGACAAAGAAACCAGAGGGAACAGGGTGGGCTTCCATGGCCAAGGCAGTACAATCAACGCTTCGTAATTTAATTGAACTGCCTTTCGTGACAGCGCCTTCGGAAATGGGAAATCATCAGCTCATCCTCCACGGAGACAGTGACGACCCTTGTCCAAGACCATAGGACTATGAGACAGAGAAAACTGGCCAGCAGTACAGATACACTTATTGTGAATCTGGCAAGGCTGAGTTTGCCTGTGTCTCTCCTAACCCCGAGCAAGAATATTTCAGCTCACTTTCCTGTACCTTCCAAAGGCAATTCTCTAAAATGAGGAGAGTAGAAAAAAAAAACAGTCCCTACCTTAGAATATCGCAGAAGATGAGGCAGAATTGTAAGAGCCAGGGGTTCAGAACATCTGCTGTTAGGTACTGTCCCCGAGACGTGACAGGGAAAATGAATTGGTGACCTCTCAACAATGCAGTCATCTGAACAAGGCCAGCACAATGACAGCACCAGGGGACACGCCAGTGTAGACAGGGGAAATCCCCGTATGGTCCCACCCCTAGGAGAGCTACAGGTGGTCAATGGCCACCGAGAGAGGAAGAATCAGTTTCCTC